TTTGTAAAACCAGCAGAACTGATTCCATCTTGGCTAGAACCATCTTGAACAGAAACCTAAATGGGATAATGTGATTACCCCTGAAGGTGTGTTTTTTGGAAAACTATACAAGCCTTTTTAGAGATAATAAAGAGAGGGGATTCATGATAAACGATGAGGCTCTCTGCGTCTTCATTTAATCCTCGTCCATTCTCTCGGCGGAACTGTTTCGATATATCGGGGCGTGACCTCGATATCATCTTTCATACTTTGGACATGTAGTGAGGGGTGGCTATTCCGTGGAAAAGAACAGTATGCTTGGAAAGAGGGTTGGCGAAGGAGAAGATCCCTTAAGAGATTTACAGGGTTATTTCAGCAAAGGGCTCTAGTATGTCAGAGATGATGAGGACGGCACAGGTTAGGGCAGGTTTCAGGTCATCTGTTCACAGGGCTGCTATGAGTCGTATTCAACTCGGTAGTGCCTAACAACAACACTAACAACAAGAAGCAGCCAGAGTTCCGTGTTTATTATAAGATTTAAAAAAAAGTAAGAGACACTATAGAATTTTCCTCCCAAATAAAGATAATTACGTGAAATTTTTTAAAATGTATATTTATGTTTTTGTTGAAAGATTAACCTGTAAATTAGGTTATCATTTTTCAATTCCCACACAACTATTCATTGAGATTTATCCATGGTCTGTGTTATACAGATGACACACCATGATTGCTGAAAGTGAGCAGGGCTTGAAACACTTGTCGCAGAAGATCAAAGAATACAGCCTTCAATATGGATGGCATCTCAATGTCAAGAAAACAAAGATTCTTACCACTGGACCAATAGGCAACATCATGACATATGGAGAAATGATTAAAACTGTCAGCAACTTAATCTAATTTGGATTCACAATTATCACTCTTGGAGACAAATTATTCTTGGAAATTCTGCAGTTGGAGACCTCTCCAAATTATTGAGAAGTAATGATATTACTTCAAGGACTAAGGTGCATCTGATTCAGGCTATGGTCTTTCTGATCACTTACCATGCATTTGAGAAAGCACAATGAATAAGGATGACAGAAGAATTGATGCCTTTGAGCTGTGGTGTTGGAGAGAAGCACTGAACTTCCCATGGATTGCCAAAAGAACAAATATGTCTTGGAGAGGGTGCAGCCAGAGTGCTCTTTGGAGGCAAAGATGATAAGGCTTTGCCTCACATACTTCGTGCATGTTGGTAGGAGGGGCTATTCCTTGGAGAGGGACATAATGCTTGGAAAGGTGTTGTTGTTAAGTGCCATTGAGTCACAGATGACTCATAGCGACCCTATGAATGAAAGACCTGAACACTTGTGTAACTTTCATCATTTCTCTAGGTTCATAGGGTTTCTGGAGGCACTCTATTTCAGAAGTGGATGCCACTACTGCTTCCAAGATTGTTTTCATTGAGGAGCTCCACCAAACATTGTCCACCAAGGGTAACCATTATTGCGTTTGACATATCTGCCACAGTGTTCAGCATCATAGCAACCACAAGTTACTTCTGTACAGACCAGTGAACAGACCAGTGCTATGCCACTTAGGAGCATGTCTGACCCAAAACAATTAAATCTGGCCCTAGGGTCGCAGACTAAAATCACCCACCTTTGGCTTCACTTTTTGTCCACTCAGCCAACTGAGCTCTCTCTATGTTGTTGTTGTTGTTATTGTTAACTACCATTGAGTTGTAAAAAGGCTGCAGATTCACCCATGCTTCAGCAGAAGGCCTCTGGCCAGCCAAACAGGACACACAGACCTCCCCCACAGAAAAAACTTGAAAATGTAGAAGGTTGTCAAAAGAGAAGAGGACCCTGGACCAGGTGGATTGACATGGAGACTGCTGCAAAGGGCTCTAATGTGTTAGAAAGCGTGAGGCTGGCACAGGACAGGGCATGATTCAGATTTCTTGTTCATAGGGTCGCTATGGGTTGTACCCAACTTAAGGGCACCCAACAACAACAAAGTCAAATGGCTTTTCATAGTCAATGAAACATAGATAGATGTTCTTCTGATAAGCTTTGCATTCTACAAGATCCACCTGACATTGGCTATGGTGTCGCTAGTACGATGGCTTCTTCCAAACTCAGCTTGCACTTCTGGCAGTTCTCTGTCAATGTACTGTTCCAGTCGTTTTTGGATAATCTTCAGAAGGATTTTGCTTGCATGTGACTTCCAGTCAGTTGGTCAAGTAGTTTTCTTTCCGATTTCTTGGCAGAGCCTGTCGAGCATATCCAGGGCTGCCTATGTTTGCTGAAATATATCAATTGGTATTCCATCAATTACTGAGGCCTGGTTTTTGCTAATTCCTTCAGGGTAGCCTGCACTTCGTCCTTCATCACAATTACCTCTTTTTTTAAATTTTTTTCTTTTTTTTTTGTTTACTGGTTTGCTTACAAAGTTTGTATACACTGTTTTTCACACTGGATCCCTCCCATTTCCTTTACCCACCCCTCCTACCCAGCAAATTATGTGACCCTACGATCAAACCCGCCCCCTCCTCCCCCCTCTATTTCTACTCTCTCCCCCTTGGATCCTCATACACATTTTACTTGTTATCTTACTATTTCTACAATAATAATTGCCTCTTGATTGTAAGTTGTTTTGTGGAATTCTTCTGTGTCAATCAGTTATTTCTGGCATAGTGACTCTGTATCTTCCTTCTACCTTCTCTTGACACATTCTGGATCATTCACTATTCTGCCCATAGCATCTTTAAGGATTTACTCTAGAAGCCGTAATTTGTTCTTCAGTTATTTCTGTTTAAGAAATGCCAGGTGAGTTTGGCCTTTTTTTAATTTCTGACTCCAACTCTTTG